GCCCTACCCCTTTTAATGTGCACGCAGGGGTACAGCTTCGATTGCACAGTCACGCCTACCATATTAACTTTTTACCTCCTTCCCCCCCACAGACACCCCTGCACCAGATGCTGCATTTTAAAGCTCTCTGGTCGTTTTTTCTGAAGATAACAAAGTTCCAGCCCATAGATAACTCGTGATACAGTGTCACAAGCCATTTGGAGAGGCATAGTTAAAGCATTTATGATTTTCTCATGGCCCTCAGCCTAACTAATGCAAGAGATCAGTTGAGATATCTGGTTGGAGCTATTTCTCTCTTCCTCATAGCCTGCTCCTCTGGAGACAAAACAGCTCTGCTTTAGGGCGAAAAAGGTGTTAAAAAGAGGAAAACAGTGACATCCAAGAGAGAACTGCTGTCCCACCTATGTTTGGCTCTTGATAAACTCACGGATTATTTCAGCCCACATACCACATGACCTCCAAGAGATTATCCTAAGGGAATGTAGCCCTTGAGAGAAACAGAGCTATTTCTTCTGCAAACTCCCTAGTATTTTAGAGATTCGTTTACTGCAATGCTTCTGTGAGCCACTTGCTTCAGTGATCAAGGAGATGGAAGTGACAACAAAGCCTAGATGTAGGTTGCAACTCCGCCAATAAAACACAATCAACCAACGGTGTGCCTGGGCCACCAGAGATGCAAGAACACTGCTCTCTTTGCTGTGTGTTGGGCATGGCACCAAAAGTAGACCTTGAAGCATCTAAAACACCACCAAAAATAGATTGGTGAGCTAGGTTCAGATTGATGGATCACAGATTTCACAGGCTTGAGTTATGGAGTTACCTTGTCCATGCAGGCCAAATGTGACTCTGTCAGGCATCGGAGCATTCCAGTATTCCAAGTGGCTGCATTCAGTTGCTGAGGGGTGTCGCAGATAAACATCTAGAATGTGCTTCCCCAATGGCATGGATCCATTCAAAGCTAATCAAACTGCAGTTGAAATGGCAAAGGGAGACAAATAATAGAGATCTTATCTATTAAGCTCATTCAATTGTTTCCCCTCGGGGTAGTCATGTAATTATTGAACCAAGGACAGTGAGGGAGTACAGTACCTCAGTGGAAATACAAAATCAGGCAAATACAGGGCAGCCAGTTCTCCTGATGGGTGTATAATCCTCTTTGGGGATTGATTCCCTATTAACATTTTAGGAGGACAGAAAATATTTCCTTCTTGATCATTTCAGTAACTCGTCACCCAAATGTTAACATATCCACGTGTATTTCCCTTCATGACATGGATGTATAGCCCAAATTTAGTGGCCATGTGCTGCTCTGCCATCTCCCCCTTTACTAACCAAACAGGAACATCCGTATGGCTGATCCAGGAACATGGGAAAATAGCAGACAGGAAAAAAAGATGGATTGGATTTTCAGAATGATACGGTGACTCCAACAATCAATTTAGTTGGTTGGTTTGATGGGAGAGGGGAGTAGATTTTCTGTTCTTCTGCAAGTACTTGTTTTTTAGTACATTTGTTGGAATTCTTGTACAGTTCCATTCATTTCAGGTTGATCACTTAGCTTTTTAAATATATCCCTAGGGAGCTGAAAGAAAATGAAGCCACCTGCCTTTCCCCTCCTTTTGTATTCCATTTTACACATCTAAAATATATAAATACAAGGCTCAAATTATTAGTGAACAAAGGGCCCGGCAGTAGTTCATTAAAATGTTTGCCTTAATCAGCAAAATTTAACAATGAGATGTAGCTGAGAAGCATGCTGTGGGTTCTGTCAGCCAACGGATGTCACCTTGTGGGACCCTGGAAGGAGGCCTTTTCTGTTGCAGAACGTGACCTTTGGAACACCATTCGCCCCAAGAGTAGGTGGCTTTTCAGATGGCTCTTAAGGCATGGATGTGGGCATCCCCAGGCATGGGGGTTGGAATGTTAGTGAGGGAGCGTGATGTGATTATGATTTGATTTATCTTGGTTTGGTTCCTCAGCTGCTATTTAGGTTTTGTATTAAGTTTTTCTGTTTTTCTTAAAATGTTGAAAGCCTCCCAGAGTCACTATTGTAAGATGGGCAGCTATAGAAACTGAAGAAATAAACAAATCATAAATGAATAAACAAGTTCAATTTTAAAGTCTTCAGTATTTAACACCCGGAATTCTGGAGAGGGTTTAAAATGCGTTTCAGCTGTCATAAGAGCAACTGATTTCAGAAGGCACCTTAATTTTCTTCTGCTTTCTTCTAGGTGCAAAATAACACAACATCAGGGCAGGCTGTCACCATGGAGCTTTTCCTCACCCTTCAATTGGTTCTGTGCATTTTTGCCTCCACTGATGATCGCAGGACCGGCAACCTGGGATCCCCAGCTTTGTCCATTGGTTTCTCCGTCGTCCTGGGTCACCTCCTTGGGGTGGGTAACTCTGTCAACCAGATTGCTGTGCAAAATTAAGCATGGAGAGATGACGGTACTGACAATAAAGCACAAATCTTGGAGTGAGGGAATGGCCCTTCTCAGTTGATGTTTCTCATGGCTGAAAATCAGAGCAATTTTCTACATATTCACCACATATCTACTCATTGAAATCCTGATTCAACAGGCTTTGGGCTACATATAGTTGCATTCCTATTTGGCTGCCTCTCCCTCCTTTCCCAGATAGCAATCAACCTGAGATCATATTATAAAGAGGATGATATCATCAATTGGGATCCAACTATCCTTAGGTACTTGCTGAGATCAGTGAGTACAAGTGATCTCACTTAATAGCTGGGTGCTTCAATTTGTTTAGTGCTACTCATAATGGCTGCCCTCATTAATATGTTGTTAGAAGTCAATCCCAGTGGTAAAAATCAACACTGTGCTTGCCCAAAAGGGCTTCCTTCCTCCTCTTCTCATTGCAGCTGCTGTATGTCTTCATCCCCAATTACTTTCAGAAAAATTCCCCGTGAAGATTGTCCCAGTCCTATGGAACGGATTTTATAGGCATAGAAGCAGCTGCAAGGAAGGATTTTGTCCCCTCCCTATTTTACCAAAAAGCCTCCCATTGGCTATCCTGGCTTTATAGATAGCAAGACGAGCCACAGGGGAATGACAAGGCTAGTGGAACATGGTTTTCTACAGGTAGTCCTCGATTTAGGATCACAACTGGGACTGGAACCTCTGTCACTAAGCAATGTGGTCATTGTGCCCAATTTTATGATCTTTTTGCTGTGGTCATTAAGTGAATTATACAGTCATTAAACGAATCTGGCTTCCCCCATTGACTTTGCTTGTCAGAAGCCCCCTGGGAAGGTTGCAAATGGCAATCACGTGAGCCCAGGGCACTGCAACCATCGTAAATACATGCTGGTTGCCAAGCACTCAAATTTTGACTGCATGATCGCGGGGATGTTGCAACTGTTGTGAGTGCGAGGACCAGACATAAGTCACTTTTTTTAGTGCCATTATAACTTCAAATGATCATTAAACGAATGGTCATAAGTCAAGGACTACCTGTATTGAAGTAATGATACGGTAAAAGCTGTTTTTAACAGAAGCAGGCAATCTTTTTGGGGGGGGTGGGGAGGACCACATATTGAGATTCAGAGACATCCATATAATTAGCCAGCATAGAACATCCAGTTCATAGATAGGCCAGTTTATAAAAGTATATTTTAATCTTTGACTTCCTTCCTGTCCTCCTTCTGAATGGTTGGACTTTAATTTTTTTCTGGTTATTTTAGCAGTTCTAGAAATCTAAATCTTTGTTATCCTCTCTAAAGTTTAAATCATCCTTGCTTTTCATTCTTCCTTATTTCCTGCTGCGGGCCCAGTCTCGGAGATGCTTTGGACACATAGTTGCATGGCGTTCCTTACCATTAGCCAGTTTTCAGTGAAGCCATTACGCTGGATGAAACTGTATGGAATCCCTTCAGATCATTTGCCTGATCTAAATATATCAGTGCTATTTTCTTCTCAGGAAAAACAAAAAAGGAAAAAAAAAAAAAAAAAACCTGTCAAAAGAGCTGATCACATACATTAATTTACCTAAGTGGTTTAGAGCAGTATAGATGGATTTTGTCTCTCTCTCTTTTATCCTCGTTAGAGATTCTGTTATATAACACTGCAATAATCAGTCATCCAAGATCTTTCCATCAGTTTCAAGGCTGAATGGAGATCTGAACCTGGATCTTCCCATAGAGGATCAAAGTATGTAAGAGTTGAAAGGGTTCTTAGTTATCATCTAGTCGAATCCCTTTCTAGTGCAGGAATCTAACTACTAACTACATACACACACACAGATACGTGCACACACACACACATATATGACAGGCAGTGTGGTACAGTGGTTAAGATGCTGGACCACAAGCATGAAAACTCAGGTTCTAGACCAGTCTTAGGCACAGAAGCTGGCTGGATGATTTTGAGCCAGTCACTCTCTCTCTCAGCCCTAGATTGGGAAGACAAAAAACACCCGCCTACCAACTCACACTGGACCAGCATGTTAGATGATGGTCTTCAATGAAGTTGCCTTCATCCTGCAGTAGATTGACTCAGGCTAATAATAATTGTGCGTGTATCACTAATTTCATCCTGCTTTTCTACCTAGATCTACTACACTGGCTGTTCCATGAATCCTGCTAGATCTTTTGCCCCTGCTGTGATTGTTGGTGAATTTGACGACCACTGGGTAAGACACAAGACCAGCCTTTCTCCACTGGGGTTCTGCAGAAGGGGTTCCGCAAGAGATTGGCGATTAAAATAAATAAATAAATAAATAAACATCATTTTTTGAACTTCACACACTGCGCAATGCTAGCACTTGCAATCATGGGAATTTTTATACACCACAACTCAGGTGCCGGCCTGCCACTTTGTCGATGTTGTTGTCAATGTTGAAAAACGTGGATTGTGTATGTTAGAAATGAATTGCATTATGAAGTTTTCACATTTTTTGTGATTTTTATGCAGGGGTTCCCCAAGACCCGAAAATTATTTCAAAGGTTCCTCTAGGGTAAAAAGGTTGAGAAAGGCTGTTCCAGACCATCTGTACTTGCAGCAGAGCACTAAGAAAGGATGGCAATGTTTTGGGGGTTGTAAATCTTGGGGGCATGGGGGTCATAACCCATACAAGCAAGCAGATTCATACACTTCATCACTGATAGGTGCACATATTGGCATACCCTTTCACTCTCTCACATGCACATAGACAGAAATGCCCTGGATTCCTGTGAAAGAAGACAAGTTTAAATCCTCTCCTCCCTCAGCATTTTTTAAATGGACAATTGAATTTTCTTGGTTCCTGTTAATGATCGGGGAAGAGCCATTTTGCCAAAATTAGTTAGTTGGAAGGGGGGAGGGTCAAGATTCCCTACCCCCAAATATCCTTACCAGGACTGCTGATTCTCTGAGAAACTATGGAAGAGGTGGTGGGCCTTAGAGAATAAAGCTGAGGACTCCATGCAATCCATGTCCATCATGTGACCCAACAGTAGAATAAAAGAGTAGGAGAGTAGAATAGAAGAGTAGAATAGAAGTCTTTTCTGCCCTTCTTCTCACACCAGGGAACATGGCTGTGGTTCCTCAGAGTGTAGTTCCCCTCTTCTCTTCTCTGACTCATACGCCTGTGGCAATACAAGTGAGAAGAGGAGCAGGATGGGAAGACAGGAAGGGATAGATGACTTACTGTAGAGGACACCACAACATCAAAAGGCTACCAAGGTCTCCAAATTCACTTGGGGTTGAAGTTTGTCCTGGTCTATTCATGCTCGTGCAATATATTAGGATTTTCTGAACACAGAGGGATGAATGCCATATATGCAAGACATAAGATATGGTGTATGAAACAAAGTGAAACCATCAGCTCTGGCCATGTGGCCCTGGCCACTTTTCTAGCAGCAGGAGGTCTCTCTTGGCATTCCTGTGATAAATTAGGAGCATAATCTTACATGAAGGAGACAACTATCACTTAGGAGACTTGTAACAGGACTGATGAACCAGGAGCAGCTCTTGCCTCCATAAGAGGACTGTTGTTTGTTTGTCTGTTGAATTGATATTGCTGCCTGTCACAATACAGAACATAAAAACAAGAAATAGTAAAATAGCATTGCAAGAACCATACGTGTTCCTTTGCCTGAAGGAAAAGCCACGTCTTCAAGGCTTTCTGGAAGTCTAACAGGCTCAGGGCCATCCAGATCTCAGAGATGCTGTTCCATAAGCACCACAACAGAAAAGGCACACTTCCCAGGTTCCATTAAATGGCACTGTTTCAGAGAAGGAGCATGCCTACACTGTCGGATCTAGTGGACAGGCAGTGCCACAAGTAATCTGGCCCAGTGCTATGTAGGACTTTATAGGTGACCACTAGCAGCTTAAATTGTACCCGGAAGCATAGTGGAAGCCAATGCAGCTTGTGAAGCAAAGATGTTACATGGGCATACCAAGTGCACCCTAAACTGTGCCCACTGTTATGTTTGGACCAATTGCAGATTCCAAATGTTCTTCAAGAACAGCCCCATTTAGAGCACATTGCAATAATCAAACTAGGAAGAGACTAAGGTGTGAATGATTGAGACTGGAGCCTCCCATTCCAGGAAGGGCTGCAATTGGCACACACGTTTTCAGCGAGAAGAGGCTTCAGTGGTTTGGCAATGGATTAAAACCCCATTCCAGCTCTAGTTAATATCTATGTGAGCTGTTCAGGCTCTAGTTTCATCTAGCTTCAGGTCAGTTTGTTACTGGACATGACTTTGGTTTCTTGTTTTGTGTCTCTGGAGTTTCTTAACATTTATGTTCAGTGAAGTGAAAGAATGAAGGAAGCAAAATCCTTCAATGAGTTTGGCAGTTGTCCATGAATTCTTTAGCTCCCCACCAGAGGAGCCATACTGTTAGCATCTTAGTTCTGTTGCCCTGGCTTGGGAGATCTGGAATAATCCAGCAATGATATTTGAAAAATAGGAAATAATACCTTGCTTGCTTTTCCAGAACACATTGGATGCACTTTGGTGCTCTGTAGTCCACATTCTCCAAATTAGTACTTTCCAGATGTAGGGCTTAGCTATAAATCCCATTGCCCATTGCTTGAATATGGCTTGCAGAGAAGCCTGCATAACTGCTTTCCTTGATGAGAAATGCCTGATAGTTGTATGAAGCTCCTTGGAACACAGACTGAAAACCACGATGATGAGGAACTGTATACTGATTCTAGAAATTGCCATATATTCATGATTAGCTAGTAATTATTAACTTAGCTGCCCCATTTGTCACCAAGAGATGAAGTGTGAGCAGAAGGATCTCTGGCTGTTATCAGCTGAGCTACTCACATCTCAAGACAAGCAGAAGGGTTTGGAGGTAAAAGAAGAAGCAATTCCAGATGTAAGGACCAAATTTATCAAGAGCTTCACAAAATATGGCTTTGTAAATGCTGGAGAAACCTAGAAAGGCAAGGGATTTAGAGAAATAAATAGAAGGGAAGAAGGAGGTCTTCAAAAGGAGAAGAAAAAGAGGAGAGTGGGTGAAAAAGAATCACCTATTGAACTGAATTCATTAATCAAGGCCAGAATCATACATATGGGGAGGGATGGTGGGGAAGGAAGAAGCCTGCAATTCTTCTCCTGCCTGCTCCAATAAATTATTTGAAATCTATTTTAATGAAATCCCTCCTGTCCACAGGATAAAATGTAGATGTTTAGCTCAAATAAATCTACCAATTGTCTTTTGGGTTTTGTGTTACCCAAGAATAATCATTGTGTCTACCAGCTTCTGAGTCTCTCTCATGTTCTCATTTCCATGCACAGGTCTTCTGGCTGGGTCCCATGGCTGGAGCAGTGGTGGCTTCCTTGCTCTACAATTATGCTCTCTTCCCTCATGCAAAGACTCTCTCAGAGAGGCTAGCAATCTTCAAAGGCTATGAGCCAGAAGAGGACTGGGAAGAGCGTGAAGTTCGCAGAAGGCAATCAATGGAGCTGCACTCTCCCCAGACCTTGCCTCGGGGAGTGATGGAAAAAGTCTAAACCAGCCCTGAGAACCAGTAAAAGGAGCAGGTTATAGCTAACCATGTTCTTCTGAGCCAAATATGCAACCGTATATGCTACAGATACAGTGTGTGTATCAAGCCCCTCCTGGGACGGTATGGATGTTCATCTGTTGTGGACATCCAAATGTGTATCCGTTTTCTCCTCAAATTGTAAAAGATGTACCTTTTGCTCCAAAGCATGCTGTTAAAGAGCTTTAAGGCAGTTGATCTATATCAACAGGAGCACATAGCACCAAGGTGTACATGCTGATGAAAGAGTCAAGTGAAGTTTATTTTTCTTCCCTGGTCCAAATTACCTAAATTTCTCATGAGTTCTCCAGAATTCTGCATGAAGAATTCTGCTGGAAACTATCTCTGTATCTATCTCTCTATCTCTATCTCTCTATCTCTCTATCATTATCTCTCTCTCTCTCTCTCTCTCTCTTTATCTATCATCTATCTCGTTGGGGTATGTAGTCCCCTCCAGGCACTAGCAATTGCAGTTTCTGGAGATAATAACGGCATCCAGAATGATGGCCTGGAAAATTCAGGAAACAGAAACATTACACTCCTAAGTCTGTATACTTGGAAACAGATTGCACTTTCATTATATACTTCAAAGTGCACAAGCTTACATAGTAGCTCTAGGCTGCAATCCTACACATACTCCCTAGGGAGTGAAGCCCATGGAATAAAATGAGATTTCAGTAAGTATGCCTAGGATTGTACTGCCCATCTCATAGATGTCAGCCTTATAATTTTACTCCTCAGCCAATTTCTCACTGTGGGTCCCTTCTCTATGGTTTTATATATTAAAATGCAGTGTAGTGCTTGTGCTGAATTTTAGATCAAACAATTATTGCAATATAAGATCAAATCTACTTGCTGCAGCCACATTCACTTTTTTTAATCAAAGTGTTTGTAACAAACCTCCTGTGCATCATTATGTTGAGTTTTTTCTCCAGGCTTTCTTAAATTACACCTTCATTAAAATGTTCAGATGGTGGGAGGATATCTTTTTGCAAAATCAAAATGAACAAAACAAGCCCTGACTAGATTTGGCCTTGGCCACCTTTCCCAACTGCAATTTTCTTTACAAAGCAACTTGGGAGTTCATCGTAAATGGTTTGATTATTATGCAAGCTTCTTTTTTTCATTGTTGTACATGTTGCCATTCATTTTACAAAGCTTAAAGCATGTTGCCTTAGATCATTTTTCCAAACAATGTCTGAATAGCATTCTTTAAGGACATTCGATCTTAAAAAATTGAAGCACTTTTCACACTTGATTTTTATTATTGTTGTTGTTGTTGTTATTGTTATTATTATTTGCATCATGTGTTTGGCATAACATGTCTTCGATTCTGCGGGTTGATATGCACTCAGCCTTATTGAACTGCCTAATACAAATGCCTCATACCTAATGTCTTCTGGATGTGGGGTAAGTAGTGGAGGGATGAATCAGAAGCTGTGCAATAAAACTGATGCTATAAAGCATTACATTGGGGAAAAAAAGTGGGTGATTAATTTCAGGTGCTTCTATATGAGCCCTTTTCTCTGGCATGGACAGTTTTTTCTCACTAATTAATTCCTAAGGATCCAGATGAGGAAGATTGTTTTAAGCTCCTGCATTTTTCTGTTTTCCTTGTTTTTAATCCTCACCACCATTATAGCTAATATTAGAACTTTGAAAAGAACTACAGTAGCCCTGTGGGCTTCTAAGTAAACAAGAGCTTGGGAAACATCTTGGGTCAGAGCAATGGCTGTTCTGTCCAGTATTTTGTGTGGCCCACAATCAGATGCATTTTGGAAGCTTCCTGATCTGGAAGAGGCATTTCTGACGTAGCTGATGAAGAAACATAATCCTGTCCACTTCCACTTCTTATTCATTTGTACTACCTTCAACTACCTTGTTGGACTGTTAGGGTGGTCTTAGCATTGCAGTGCTGCTAAAGGGGTGGTACTGGGGAAGCTGCTTGTTTCTACTATCAGCAGGTCAAAAAAGGAAAAAAGTGATTGTAAAAGCAGAGGGGCACGAACACTCCTGATGCATTTTAATTAATGGGAAGAAAAGGCTATTTCAGGACTGATGTAGTTGAGGATTCTTTTGGGACGTGGGCTGGGGTGTCTGGAATTGAAGGGGCCTAGGGAACTGTAGATCTATGGATGTTCGTAATGTACTCCATTTCTCATCTCTCTCATTGTGGGAAGGCCATCTGTTCCTCTGCAGGTGTACTAGGTGGTCTCCAACAGCTTTACTTCCATCCCATTGGTGGATCTCCCTCTCTGCTGATACAGCAACAAAAGTTAGTTGCCAACAAAAGGAATTTGGAAAGCTGAATAGCACTGTCATAAAAAGATAATAAACTAGAGCTTTTGTTTTAAAAAAAGTAACCCTCAACATCAAATGTTAGAGCTGAAATCTAAAACATATAATTTCACAGTCGGAATAATTTTGCCAGCTTTTGAAAATTCAGTTCTTAACGGGGGATTTTCTATTTCATGTGTTTGATATATCAAAGAAAGAGAAACAGCATGAATAATTAATAGAAATGGTTTAACCCAAAATGAGGTCATACCGTAATTATAGATTTAGGGAGATGGCAGAAGCATTACAAAAAATCATTCCCACCAAACACCGTAG